ATGATAAAGGATCAGCAGAAAAAGCTGAAAGACCAGTAGCTGGAACATGATGGGAAACAAACCTTTGTGTGCAGGAGGACTTCTCAACTCTTGACTTTATCTAAAAAGTCATTAGTCTTCTTTGGTTTGGTCCAGTTCATCTAAACAGTGTTTCAGTTAGACAAGAAGCAGAAATGGCAAAGAGCAACCTTTTCTAAATTCAGCACCTTTCATGTCTCATGCCTCATTTTCTTTTTTTTGTTGTTGGCTGTGTCTCACTTCCAGGTTTGCCTTCCGCCAGCCACTCCTCCTTATGAGTCTGGTTGTTTTTTCCCTTTTTTTCCTTTTGCATGGAGACCTGCTGAGGGGTTTTTGACTTGATAAAGACGTGCTGTGTTTGTTCCGGCAACACTGAGGCCTGTGGTGTTAATGTGATTCAGCTGGCTGATTCAACCCATTAAATAACTCTGAGAAAAGAATGGCCCACTGGCTGTGGCTTGCTGCTGGCTGCCAGTCCCAGGACTCACTGTATGCCTGCAACTGAATGGAAACAATGTCTTTTAGCACTGGTGCTTTGGGCACACGGCAACTTGCGAAGCTGTTTGATAGGTGGAAACTTGGACAGAGTCAATGAAACCCGGAGACGCCTTTTTTCCTGTAAATTAAAAAAATAAAATAAAATAAATCGAGTTTTCGTAAGGCCTAGATGTGGAAACGCGCCTCAGAACGGGGTTTCCCACAGATGAACAGCTCTCTCTCCTGTTCTACTAACTGTTGGATACTAACATAACTGGACAGTGTGTCACTACAGTAAGCCTGCATTAAATGCAGCAGCTCAGTAATCAGTTTTCTCTGTAAACCTTACTTTATTTCTGAGTCATATACTGCTTTATTATCCCGTTCACAAAGGGATCATAAAACACATGTGTCAGTGTTTGTGTATGCGTAAGCTGAAAGCCTGGTTAGAGGATGAAGGTGTATCTTAATAATGCAAATAGCCATGTTGAAGAGGTTCAGTTTTACTTTCATCTAATGTCAAATTTCCTTTCATCTTGTGACTTAGCAGCAATGGCAAACGATCTGAAGTCTTTATCCTGCATCAAAAGCCCAGTTAGGCTGCGTTCACACTGCAGGCAAAAGCGCATCAAATCCGACTTTTTTGACCCTATGCGACCCATATCCGATCATGGTGTGACAGTGTGAACGGCACAAATCCGATATTTTCAAATCCGATCTGGGTCACTTTCGTATGTGGTACTGAATCCGATACATATCCGATGTTTTAGAAAGCGACTGCTGTTTGAACGGTCAAGTCGCATTAAATCCGTCTTTTACGTCACTGACACAAGACAGACGCCGATTATCAGCGCCGGAGAAGACATCGTGAACGCTTCCTGGCCATCCGGTGAAACTGTTGGGAAGACAACGTTGGAGAAACGTGAACATTTTATTTGTACTGTATAATCTGCAGATTCTGACAGAAATCTGCAACTATCCTTTGAAGCTCCTCTAAAACAGCAATAAGGATCATTATTAGGTTATTTACATTATTATGTAAATAACAAAATAACTTAAAGCAAAAATTGGGAAACGTGAAGTCAGAAGTCTTTATATTAAGGCCATCAGTCAAACAATACTGTTTGCTCTGGGTCTAAACAGAGCGTGTTGTGTGTGACGTCTTCTTTTGCACATGCGGCCGCTTTGAGCGTTCACACTAGAGCGCGTTTGCTGTCGCATTTTATTTGTAGTGTGAACGAGCAGACAAAAAAATCACATTTGATCAAAAAATCGGAATTGAGCATCAAGACCTGCAGTGTGAACGTAGCTTTAGTCATTTCCATGACTAACAATTAATGCTTTTTGTGTTTTGTTTTTAAGTCAGGGTACAGAAAGCTAGCAGTAAACCAGGTGCCTTAAAAATGTCAGGATGATGTTACATGTTAAACGTTAGATAATAGATTTTATAGACTCGGCTTATGCAAATTTTATCTGATCAGAGGCAGTTAACACGGTTAACAAGAGTTAACACGGTTAACAAGACTTAACCGTGTTAACTCTTTCTCGTGGTCTTCGACACTGAGAGCAGATCTGGGTTTAAAACCACCAATTAGTTTTTGTACGTTTTTGCTGTTTATGATGGCAGCTTTGGAAAGTGTTGTTTTTGTCCCCGTGTTAGTGCAGTGCCACTGATAAACACACTAATTATCTCTGCTTCATCACATGCAAACATTCACACTGGGATCATGTGAGTTGGCCTCTGTTGAATCTTCTAATCAGAAACAAGACAGCGCCTTGTCGGGGTTTTAGGTGGATAATCTGATGGAAGCTGTGTCAAAGTCAAAAAAGCAGGTTGTGACACCTCAGTCCTGCCTGAGGAGAAGGAAGTGCATCAGTGGAGCTCATGGAAACAAAGAGTGCCTTTGCTCTTAGAGGGAAAACAAAGGCACATGTGGAAAATATACACCGCTTTCTACCTTTGTCAAGTCGTTTATGTCTCTTTTGCATATGTAAAGTGTAAATATCCTTACTTTGCATTTTCATTTAGACTCTAAAAAAGAAACACTTAATATTCGTGTAAAATGTTTGCCTTTAACTACATATTTGAGATCATACTTACTAAAAGTTTTGATCAGCTATTCACTTTCTCATTATCGCAACTCACCATTCTACCCCTCTGCAGCTTTTTATTAGCACTATAACTATATTTGACTATATTTGGTCAATAAAAAGTCAGAAAATAGTCCACAGCTTATCCACTGACTTCTTTAAATGTCTTCTTTGTTTGTCCATCTGTCGCTCCTGCCTTGAGGGAATTTCTTCTGGAGCTGATACAGCATTCACTTGGATCCAAAGAACTGATAAAAAAACTGTGATATTCCAAGGCCAAGGTCACTATAACCTCGTGAGGCCATTTTTGGTCATAAGTTAAGAATTTTTACTAAGAAGTTTAGCATTTTTTCTTGTAAGTAGTTTATTGGATTTATTGGATTCTCAGAATCATATCCCAGCATATACCAGCTGGCACAGGGCGAGCGGCAGGGTACACCTACACCCTGGACAGGTCTTCAGTCACAGGGCTAACACAGAGAGACGGCGGGACTCTCATTCACACCATTGGGCCAACTTAGAATCACCAGTTGACTCAACCCCACTAGCAGTGTCGGGGAGTAACGGAATACATGTACCGCCGTTACGTATTTAAAATACAAAATATGAGTAACTGTATTCCGTTACAGTTACCCTTTAAAAAGGTGGTATTTAGAATACAGTTACTTTGTTGAAATAAATGGATTACACGGCGGTACTTCCCTGTTTCATATTGTGGCGGGTCAGGACTGTTTGGGTTTTGTTTGACAGCTACGTTCTGTTGTTGCAGGCGGCAGCGTTACGGTTGCCATGGTTACATGGTGACGCTCTCTCTCTCTCTGTGTTTCCTGGGTGAGAGAGCGCCTGTTGTTGTGCTAAGCTAACAGGCAGAATGCTACAGGCATAGCTCTAAAGAATGTAGCACCATGGGCAGTGTAGTCCGTGCTGCAGGGAGAATGGACTGCCATACCCGTTATGTGTCTGTCAGCGAGGGAGGGAGAAAAAGGAAAAGTACGAGCTGTCATCGAGCAAAAACGGGAGCTGGAAGCATGTAAATATGATAATAACCACTGCAGCCAAGAAGAGAGCCTGACGAGCCCAGTTGTAAGTAAGCTATTAAGACTCGACTGTACACCGTGTTCGTGTTTTCCTCCAAAAACAATAAGTTCCGTTGGAGCAGCCTTTCAACGCCTCTCTCTGTCTCTGCTAGCAAAGTTGACCCAGACAACAAAGTAAAGCTAGTTTTCAGCTACGAGCCGACACAGAACCCACCGTATTAGCCAGAGGTCCCTTTACTACGGTTCGGAGCCGCGGACCTTCAGTAACAGTAATAAATCACATTCATGTAGTTGTAAACAGCATGATAATATATTAAGTAATCCAAAGTATTCAGAATACGTTACTCTCATTGAGTAACGTAACGGAATACGTTACAGAATACATTTTGGGACATGTATTCTGTAATCTGTAGTGGAATACATTTTAAAAGTAACCTTCCCAACACTGCCCACTAGTTGCATGTCTTTGGACAGAATATGTAAACTCCACACAGAAAGATGGTGGACTCAAACCCAGGACCTTCTCGCTGTGACGTCTTACTAATCATCACCCCACTCTGAAAATAGCCCAAACTAATATTCTGACGACTGTGTAATCATTTGCACACCAAATACAGTTTCTTACTGTGATTTAAAAAGAAAAGATTCAACTTAAATACTAGCAATTTTCTTCCATGAAAGCAAACATAAGAAATATAGCAATAGCAAATTAATCTGTAGGGTGAATGATTGTATGAGTGTAAAAATCCTTTTCCAGACATTACTTAAGTACTGTAACATATTTTCCCTTCATTTTTCGTTTTTCATCTGAAGTTTCAGTAGCTTGTGTGGATCACACCTCTCCATCTGCTAGTGCTGTTTCCGTTGCTTTTTTAAGATCTCTGTGCCAGGTGCAGTTTTGCATAATATTAATAACACCTGCCGAGTTTAGCACTGCGCCTCCTTCTGTTTTTGGCCGTCATATGTTAGCAAGTCTTGTACAGCGAGTAGAACAAGCAGTTTCAGACGCGCGACTCATGAGTGACACGAAGGTGCAATGAAGAAACACTGCTTTCATATCGCGGCACCAAAGTTTCACCCAGACCTGAGGAGATGAAGCAGCACGCACATGTATTCTCTGTATTTTCTTTGAGTCATTTTGTGTTTCGGTCCTCCAAAAGACATTTCCTCTATACTGCGAGGTTACTTTTGACCTCACTTGTCTGTATTGTATAGCTCACTCTAAGTGAGCTGCACCTACTTATGTTCTTGATTGATTGGCCAAGAGTCAGTTTTCAGTAACGTTGTAGGGAGAAAGGGAAATGACAAGCAACAGTAGGAGCGTTTCATCCCTGGCTCACATGGAAACCCTGTTCTCACTCCCACCTTCTTCCACAGATAGTGTCCAACGTGCTGATCTTTTCCTGCACCAACATCGTGGGCGTGTGCACCCATTACCCTGCTGAGGGTTCCCAGAGGCAAGCCTTTCAGGAGACCAGGGAATGCATCCAGGCTCGCCTCCACTCCCAGAGGGAAAATCAGCAGCAGGTGAGAGAGAGAGAGAAAGCTCTGGTGACAAAAGAAAAGTTTGTTTGATTAAATCAAGCAAACTGTTTATTAAAGAAATGCTTCACATATAATAATGTCATCCCAGCCCTGATGTGCTTCAAAATTATGTCAAACGCCACAAAGTTTTATAGTGAGTACACATCTATATCGCTATATCAAACAATCAACAGTAGACAGGAACTGTGTTCACAGGGACGGTCGTAATATTAACAGGTTCAAAGTCAAGTTATGATTCTGTGATTATTTCTCGTCTTAAAATATCGCCCTTGTTTACCTTCTCCCTGTAGTGGTGTCCTATGCCCACCAGAAGATTGCGTTAATGCACTTAGAAGCTTTTTGCCAGCCGCCATTAAACAACAAAGCAAACAATTAAACAAGAAGCGTGTGGTGCAAAGAGATTAGGGGATACTGTGCAAACATGAGACGCATGCATAGCCAAAGACTGATGTAGAACTGATGGTTATTGGAAAAAAGAAGAAAGAAAAGGAAATGAGCTGCAGGGTGAGAGAGAATTTTTAGTGAAGAAGTATTATTGTCACCTTAATAATTTAGTGTGACATTTTTATACAGTACAGACTATTCGTTTATAATTTTAAATTAAATTTGTTCAGGTTGAAACTCGTCTCATTTTCTCACGTCATTCACCTGCAAATCCAACAATGAAGGAATTAAAACTGCTTATTGTTTTGTTTTGGTATAGGTTTTTATTATTTTTTACTTTCAGCTGCATATGTGTCTATTACATGTCTCCTGACATTCCCAAAAATTGAAAAGTAAAAATATACAGCTCTCACTGTTGAGAGTGTAGCTCGTATTTTTTCATCATAGCAGCAAAGAAAGAGGTCGTGCTGTCTTTGGCATTTTGAAGGTTATACTGTTATTATTATTATTTTTGAACAATGGGAACAAAATGTCCAGATTTTATATTGCAAGTTAATCAGCACAACTACAAATGACCTTGGGACAAATATTCTCAAGTCGCACTAAGGCAGTGACAAGTTTTGCAGCTTTCTCACGGCCCTCTCTAAATGACTTTGAGCTCGCACTGGCAAATTGGAATCAGCGTTTCTTTCTTTACTTATTCAGATTGAGTCTCCCGTAATGTGGCTACAATCCTCATCTATTAACACGCTCACTTGACCTTTTGAACTTACGGCTCCTTCTCTTTCCTGCAGGAACGTCTGCTGCTCTCAGTGCTTCCTCGCCATGTTGCCATGGAGATGAAAGCTGACATAAACGCCAAGCAGGAAGACATGATGTTTCACAAGATCTACATCCAAAAGCACGACAACGTCAGGTAACGATCAGGGGCTGGTCAGTCACAGGGAGGAGCGGGTCTGGCATTTTTAGAGCAGTCTGACTGAGCACTCAGAGAGCTTCAAACAATGCATTTTCTCAACAGTCTCCACAAAAACAATGGATGTTTGCCCCGTGAGGCCCAATTCATATTTCATTAGTGTTTAATGTATTTTTTGTTTCAGACAGTATTTTGGTGATTGAAACTAGAGATGGACCGATCCGATATTACGTATCGGTATCGGTCCGATACTGACCTAAATTACTGGATCGGATATCAGAGAGAAATAAAAAATGTAATCCGATCCATTAAATATAAAAAAAGCACCTCACAAAACTTGCTACACGGTGTAACTCGGCTCATAACCGTAGCACGTCGCAGCAATATGCATCACGTGATAGAGGGCTGTGTGTATTTGGAGCCTTGCTACCAAACCAGCATTTCATCTCCGAGGAAGTTTTCCCAGAGAGAAGTAAAGCAAGTGTGTAAGTTCATCTCTGAATGTTTGTAAAGCATTCCCA